TTGAGTGCACAGCAGCAGGATTGGGTGGGTGGTTTTTTTTGTTTGTTTTGTTTTGTTTTGCTGTTGTTGCACTTTGTTCCTGCTACTTGACCCCCAGTTCCCATTATTACAGTTTTTATTTTTTGTAATCAACAGGATAATCCTTATTTGGTACCCTGTAGCTCTCCTTCCTAATAAAGGATAGTGAAGCATTGAGCGGAAGGAAAATAATTTGCAAAGAAACAAAAAAAAAAGCAGCCAGTGTGTTCCTTCTCCAGGCCTCAAAGCCAGAATATACAGCAGACAGTGCTTTTAGACCTTCTAATGTTGTAGCCTGGTTCTGCTTAGTCAGCTTACGTAGACCAGATGTTTTCCAAGGGCAAAAATATAAGATTTGAAGAAATAATTTTATGAAGATGGTCTAGCTTAGGAAGGCAATGAGAGTCTGCCAAAGTCTATTCTAGTATTTGGGTCTTTAAAACACAAATATATGGTGTGCCAGATGAGGAGAGTCTCAAATGTCTATCAGTGAAGTCTTCCTGATGAACAATTTTGAGGGAAATAGGAGACAAATATCCAAGGAAGAGAAATGGTGAAGGAACTTTGGGTGAGAGATTTGCTGGAACAGCAACCAGAAAAGCAATAGTGGTCAGAGAAAGTGTGCTTGAATTTGAGTGTTGTCTGGAGAGGGAGACCTGGAGTTCATCCTCCCCTGGGAGCCAAGGAAGTTGCTGCAGCCTCCTTCACTTTATAGACCTGAATAACTTTGTCATCTTGTGTGTTTAAGAAATGATCGAAGTTGGAACTGCATTCCCCACCAGGGGAGATCATGCAGGCTCAGGAGAAGGGATGCTCCCTTGCTTGGAGAAAAGAGGATGGTGCACTGCCATCCTAAAACTAATCTTAGTTGTAGCTTTAGTTTTATACTGCTCAAATAGAGCATCCCACCTTCAACCAAGACCCGCCCTTTTCTAACTCATTCCTGCTGGTCAGTCGCGYACTTTAGGCCTCCAACTGTCCACACAATCTGCTATGAAAGGTTTGTTGTCCTTTTACATTGCAGGAAGAAGACCCACCTCCAGCCCAACCTTCCATGCCCCTTTTTTTCCTTTTTTTTTCTTTTTCCTGGGATTCTGCCAGTGAAACTCTCTGATTTTCTACAGGCAAAGAGCCAGCAGCTAAGTTCAAAATGTATTCTACTCTGAGTCCATAGGCACGTAGGCCTATTAAGTGCATGCAGAAGCAAAAATTCATGTAGAGCTCTTCAAGGTTTTATGTTTTATCCTTTGGGTAGTATGTGATCCAGTGGAATTTGGGAGTGGCACTTATCTGATGCCTGTGAATACTTAGTGTATCATCTCGTATAGCTTTAGTCTTAGAGTTCAGTCCGCATGTTAATGTTAACTCAGTGATCTGTAGAGTGTTGTCGTGTAGCTTGTATGGTGAAGTTTTTGTTTTTGTTTTTTTTTTTTCCCCCCCCCTCAGGTCCAGAGGCTAGACTTTGGAAAGATACCCTTGTTAGTTAAAGCTGGAAATGACATGACTAGTAGTTAATCTCATAAAATAAGTACCTTTGACAGGGTAGGCAGGAGAATGTCACTTAGCAGTCATTGCCAGTTGGAACTGAGACCCATACACATGGGAGGAGAACAGAGTAGCCAGATAGGGTGGACAATGGGACAGTGACAGGAGGTGATGTCAGGGAAGCAGGAAGGGAGAAGCAAAGAAATGACTTGTAAAACTATAGAAAAGATTAATACTGTGAAAGGGCACYTGGGCAGAGTGAAGTTTTGAAATTGCAGGACTACATACAGAAAGGACATGATGATTTAAAAAACAAAAAACAAAACAAAAAAAACCCCACAACTCCTGTTTCTGTCAGGAGGGGCAGTATGAGACAAAGAGTTGGAAAGAGAAGGATGTGTATGTTGTAGAACAGAACGTTCCTGTTCCTCCTAATCTCTCAGCATTCACTGGGGCAATGTTCATCTCTCATCTCCAGGCGTGCCCTGCGTGTGCTGTGTGTGCATTCCTCCTTGGGTTCTGTCCCAGTCTGCACAGCAGGAGGTTGAGCTGGCTTATCGCTGCAAGGATGTAGATAACACATAYGGGTTATCAGCAGAGTGGTGTTCAGAGTGCCTGGCACGTGCCTGTCTCATATCTGCGGGGATGAATTTGGAAGTAATGAGGAAAAAGCGATGCATTTAATACAACTTTGAGAAGTCAAGCCCATACTTGGTTTTGAGATGGTGGTTTAAAATCCATGTGTTAAAGTAGTTTTTAGTAGGTATTACTTCATTATCAAAAAATTCCTGTAGTGCCTACAGTTGTTCCGTTATTTCACAAGACTTACTTTGCAAGCATTGCAAGAGAGGCATACCAAGATGAAAGTCTATAAACATGGAATATTCTTCTTTACTTTTTATAAGTATAGTCTTTTTATTCATTGTCCCTTTGGGTCTTAGTTAATGAAAACCAGGAGGCAACTGCTTTACCTGTTTAGTGTGGTATTGAAATCATAAAATTTCAACTATGGCAGCTGATGCAATAAAGTTCTCTGACTTTGAAAGTGTTCGGTGAAATCAACGTACAAATCTGTGAGTAATCTCCTCCTCCTTTTTTTATCAACAGATATTGATGATGTCAAGAAGCACAAACCAGGCTACCTTGAGGCTACAATTGACTGGTTCCGATGTTATAAGGTCCCGGATGGAAAACCAGAAAATCAGTTTGCTTTTAATGGAGAATTTAAAGACAAGGTGAAGATGATACAAAATTAGAGGTGTATTTTGCTGCCACATGGCTGCCTTGATCCATCCTCGGTTTTTGGGAATTTATTGCAAAAAGAGGAGCTTTAATATATAGATTTTTTTTATATGAGGGATCTTTGAATATAGCATATGCAGACTAATAAATAATTTTTGGTGCCTTTCCTTTTTTTCTCCGAGGGAGAAATATGTGTTATTAAAGGTAGTCAGTTAAAAACATTGGGTCTCAATCTTAAAGAGACTATATGTTTGTGGTGCTTGTTACAGTATTTTTGATCCTTAGAGGAGTGAACAGACATTTTTTTCTTCCAGTCTTGATTGATAATTTTTGTGACATTTTTTTCAAGGCTTTACAGTTTAAGACAGACAATAGGTTGCAGACTTTCCTATATATGGTATTTGYGCAAGGTATACTTTTTCCTGGTAATTTTATACGAGAACATTTGAGCTGTTTTTGGCTTGAAGACTGAAAAAAATATTTTTCCCTTTTTTAGAAAAAATGAATGGCTYTTTAAACATCCTGTAGCAGAAAGTGGCCAGTATTTGAAAGGAGAGTGGGCCTGGGAGTAGACTTTGCTGAGGAAAATGCTTGGACTTCTCCAGAGGAAATTGATTTTGATTTGAGTAGAAATACTTTGCAAGTCATATATTGTGCACTCAATACAATTTTTTTGGCAGAAAATCATAAGTTCCTAATGAATCATGTCCATGTGTCAGCCAGTCCAGCCTTGCAGTGTGCTTTTCAGAGTCATAAAATGCCTTCTAACCATCATGGACAATGTTACTCTTTATTTATTCATTTATTGCATGGTTAGAGATGCTCCAGCTCCCCTCTGCACTAGAAGTGTGTTTTAAATCAATCAAATCTACGGTAAGAAGCCTGCAGAGCCTGATAGTCTGTTCCCTGTTCTCCCAGTCACTGCTCTTCCTGATTTGCCTGCCCTGTAATTYTGCCATAGCAACAGTTTAAAAGGGATGTAGTCGAATTGTTGGAGTTTGGATTTGAGACTCTGAAGACCCTGGTGTAGCCAGTTTGGAGCATTTGGATGCTTCTCAAGCCTTTTTGGAGACCCAGAATGTGGCAGGGCGGCCATGGCTGCCTTCCAGCAGCTCTGGTGAAGTTCACAGTGTTCTGGTGGCATCTCTCCAAGTCGCTCCTTGTTAGGACACATAAATGTTCTGTTGGCGGCTTTTTTTGCAAGGCAGTCCAGATAGCATCTGGACCCTATGGAGTTTTCTGATTCCCCTTCCCCCAATGTTATTTTTGTTTTTAAACAAACAAACAAAAACAGTTAAGCAGCTGACGCGTTATGTTGCTGGAAGTGCGTATGTGATTGAGCAAGTAATGAGGTAAACACACGTTTTAGCATGGAAGGGAAAACGTTACCTCTGATCTGATGTGCACATAGAGCAGAGGACTCATAAACTCATACYTTGTCCCGTTTAGGACCTGGTACATTTTTCTGTAGATGGAGATGTCTGTTCAGTATCTACTGCTAATTTCATTCTTTCATGCAACCTTTCAGTTTTCTGGCTGCCAACTGAGGGAAAGTCCTGAATGCATTGCCAGTGTATTTGACAGATAGTGAAGTTTGTTTCTTTTCATAAAGAGAGTGTTATTTTAAGGGGCCTCCTTTGAGGCCTCATTAAATTTCTGGAAAATAACATGTGAAACAGTATGTTTAATGAACTACTTCTATTGCTGATTTTTCTGTTTAATAGCCATTTAAATCATAAGACTTTTCTTTCATATAAACCAGGATTTTGCTGTTGAAATTATTAAATCTACCCATGAATACTGGAAAGCTTTACTTCATAAAAAAGCTAATGGAGGTGCTATTAAATGGTAAGTATGCAGTCGAATCTTGTCTTTGTATTGTACTAGTACTATTGGTATTCAACATGGAGCAGCTGTGCATGAACTACTTAGATGTTTTGCTTTGAGATCACAGGAACATTTATGTTTTTAAGATTGATAATTAATAGTTGTATGTGATAATTGCACCTTGTGTAATAAAGTGGTTCAAAAATATATTGATTATATAAAATTATGTAGACTATTACAACTTCCTAGTAATAGCCCCAGAGAGTGTGTTTGGGATCATTTGGGGCGAATCTCCGTATGTCTCATCACTGTTTACTCCCTCCTTAATGTATTTGCTGTTTTAAGATTTCTTTTCTTTAAAAAAACCAACAAAAAATAAAAATCTGGGATGCAAAATTGCTGTTCACTGCCAGCCTTTGGCCCTGTTCTAAATTGAAAGGGACTTGATTAAACTCTTGTGGCTGGTTTGCACTGACAGTTCTGCCCTGAAGTGCAGGCAGGTGTGTTTGCCTGGTGCTGTCCAAGGGCTGTAGCTTCACAAGAGCCAAGTGGGAGGGCAAAGGCTGTGCTCAGGTAGTTGCTGTTCTCGTGTACTTTCTTGTGGAAATGTGACTTTCTCTCTTCCTTGAGACAAATTCTACAGTTGGACCAGTTATAGTTTTAGTTTGAATATTATCCTGCAATTTTTTTTGTTTGACTTGAGTTCTCATGGATTTAGAAGCACTTTGAGCTACGTGTTAATGTAACTTAAAATAATTTTAAAAATCACAGTCTTGCTTAGAGAGGTTGTGTAGGACCGTTTTAAAAAAAAAAAAAAAAAACTCATGACCAAATTAATTTTGGTGTAAAAGGATAAGAATTCATAGAGCAGAATTTTGATCGGAGGTTTCTTTTTCTGAGTGTGTGGGGGGGGTGGGTTTCTGTGTGTGTGTGATTTTTTTTTTTTTTTTTTTTTCTCTCCTTATGCCTGTGCATAAGGGTGCAGCAGGCAGCAGCAGACCAAGAGTGTCTTGGTATGCATGTAGCACCTGCCATCCTTTAATGCAGAAGGGAAATGCAGGATGTTTGTGCCATCCATTTTAGCCCACAAGTAACTTCCTCAAGAAATGCCTGTGTCTCTCTGACCTTTGGGCACATTTAGATTCCTAGCTGTGGATCTTTGCATTATTCCTGAGTTAGCTGCCAGAAGCAGAGTGTGAGAGTGTTACTTACAGTAATGAAGAGCATTTGCATAAAAATGAACCCCCACCCCCTAAAAATAAAAACCAACCCTCAAACCCAAAGAAACAAAGAATATCTTCCCCTACAACATTGCTGGTTACTTTGTTTTTGATTTCTTCTTTTCTGAGCTCTTTGTGTGGAGTTGTGTGGGTTTTTGTTTTTTGATTTGGTTTGATTTGTTTTCCTTTCCTATGGATGCTTAATTATCTGTCTTTTCTAAGAGTTGATAAACATACTAATTTTATTTCTCAGCACAAATGTTCTGGTAGGTGGTAGCCCGTTTTGCTGCACTGAAGAGGATGCCCGATCAATTGTGCAATCGGTAAGGGCAATATTTACTTCTTTAATTTGTTAATAAAAAAAAAAAAAGGAGAAAATAAAGTAGCTAAACTGAAATAGCCCTTTATGCCTTAAATTGCATTGTAATTAATAGGAAGAACACAAAGGTAGTGGAGGACATGTAAGTATTATATTATAAATCTTTCGTTGCAGTGGTCCAATTGTATTTTTCTGACAGGTTCATTACCATTCTGCTCTTTTTTGTGTATGTGTTTTCTTTTTTTTTCTTCTGTAGTGCTGTTTCTTTTGATCCTGAATAGCAAGATGGACTGCTATTTGTATCTAGCCTKCTGTCTTCCCTGTCTCCCCTGTTGCCATGAGTTACCACCCAGTGTTAAAACTCATTGACTAGCTGACTGTAGTCCCTAATCAGTAAAAGCATCCTTTGTTTGTCTACTTGCATAATTAAATGCATTGCTGTAAAAGAGGAGGCTGCTTTTATGAATGTTTCGTAAAGAATGCCTGTCATATTCTGCAAATTAACATAAAATTAAAACACACAGGTTTCCTTTCTAGGCAAGAAAGATGTCCTGCAGGTCTGATGCTTTCATGTGCAAATGCTAGTGAAGGAGAATTTCTTCCACTTTAAAATATGCTAGTTTGTATGCTGGAATGTAAGCAAAGTTAAGAGAAATTACCTGAAGAAAAGAAACCCACAATACTTACTTTTTTTTCCYYCTTTTTTAATGTACTCTAGTTGTGGTTGGGCCTATGCCTGTGACCACGGGAGCATGCCAAGTGTTTTGCCCATGTGCGTGGCTGCCTGGGTAGCTAACTAACGAGGGCTGCGCGCGGTCAGGGATTTGCCCCGCTAGTCACAGTAATTATGCGAGTGCAGGTCTCAAAGGAGACAACATCCACAGCCTGTGCAGTTAAGACTCCAACTACTGTTTCTAGTAAGAAGGTATTGTCCTCAGTGGTAATTTGTCATAAGCAAGTAAGGCTCAGTAACTTGCAAAGAGAGAGGAAAAAAAAAAGAAAAAAGTTGTTTAAAACATAAGGAGGTGCCAAGCTGAACTTTTTTTCTCTCCTGGTGTGTTGCTTTCAGTAAGCTCAGCGTTCACACTTGTGAGTATGTTTTGATCCATGGGCTTGTAACTTTTATRCGAAAGAAGAATTAATTTGGGTATTCAGGTATGGTTTTTAGTTACGTCAGTCATAGCTATACACAAATATTTACCTCCCTTATACTTTCAAATTTCCAATAAATTTTAATGGCTATTTAAATGCAAAAAAAAAAAAAATTCAATTTCAAATACATTCTCAATTTGGACAGTGACAAATCTGCAAAGGAGTATTTCCTTTTATGTGTTCTGTGCAGGTTGTACTTCAAAACATGTAAGTAAATAAATATTTATTTAAACCAGCGGTATCCATTATTTTGCTCTTAATAGCAAATTACAAATTTTATGGAGTTTGGGATTTGTAAATTATGTTTATAAAAGCCCATACTTTGAACCAGACTTTAACTGAAGTATGAACATTTGTCTTTTTATTAAATTATTTTATTAAATACTTCCTGGCTTTTTTGTGCCTTTCATTATTTTCTTTAGGCAATATTATTGTTTTCTGAAGTTGTCAYGCCCTGTTCTTTTCCATCATTCTGTTTCAGTATATTCTAAATACTTGAACTGTGTCTAGGTAGGTGACTGTTTTTTGGTATTTTCCAAACAGGGAAAAGATGCGGTCCTGTTTTACATACCATAATTACTGTATGCAATTTCTAATCTAAAGTAGCTTGGAAAAGGAAGATATTCTTGAAATTGAATGGCAAACAGTCAAATTCTGACTCTAAGCAAATGAATTGACCTGTACATTTTATGTACAGGGGTTATCTTTTTGCCTAGTATACTKCACTGCCCAGTTTGCTTGTAAGCATTCGTTTCTTTTGAGCAGAAGTGAAAATATGTAAGTGTTGGCTGTGGAATCTTAATGGCCTTTAAATTTAAGATGTCTGTGTCTAGTTTTTGAAACTAAAAAGACTTTTAAAAAATTATGCCATATATTAAATTCTGGATAAAAACAGAAGAATGGAAAACCAAGAATGGAGCTTTTTCATAGTGAGAAACATATTTCAGCTGCCACATAATTTCTGAATAACTTGTGGCACTGAACTGGTTTGTTACATTCCTGATTCCTAGGTCAGACTGTAATTATGGGATTTTTTAGTTGGTGTTAATTGCCTTTTATTAAATGGGATATAACAGATTTTCAGCAGCAACAACAAAAAAACACTTTTGTTGTAAACCGTTTTTATGATGAAAAGAAAAATTAACTAAAAAGGGGTAAAAAAAAATGAATCCTTGTCAAGTGCTTACCAAATTATGCACAGTTCAGATCTAGATACATTTTTGATTGAGTAATTCGATAGGTTGTCCTGCTTATTTCAAAACGACCTGTTGTGCTGGAATGAGACCTTTCATTATTTTACAGATGCGGGTACTAGAATTGACTTCTGTTGGGGAATTTCCACTGCACTTCCAGGACAGAAAGTGTGTTGTCAAATTACAAGTAGTAAATGAGGAAAAGTCTTACAGCTGGGGAAGTTGCCATGTCCAGGCAATCCTAGTGAGATCTGAAGATAACCTGTGCATATGAGGACATGAACTGAACGTTCAAACTACATCAGCCCGCTGAAAGTTTGTGGTGTTTCTTAGCAGCTAAAAACTTTCATCTCTGTCTCAGCTCTGATGTTGAAACACACTGAGGAATAAACCCTGGAGGAGCACAGCTTTGTAGCTGAATGTGTTAGTGCTAAGATGTACCGTTTGTTTCGGGCTCTTGAGTGTTGCCATCTGCAAAACTGACCAGGACAGCCAAAACTGTATTTAACAGTAATCTGAAATAAATCAAATCTAAGCAGGGAGATCTATTAACTGCCTTTCTGGTTACAGCTTCTTAGAACTTAGTAGAACTGGCACTGTCTGTTCAGTGGCCAGTTGTGAAATAGAAGGTGCTGTTTGTTTTTTCATGTGAAATAAAAGATACTGTTTGTTTTTTCATTTGGACCACAAGTGAAAGGATTCTGTCATGAAGAGCCTTCTGTTTCAGTGGAATGAGTTCGACCTTCCAGGTGGGAAGCTGGTCCTCTGAGTTCTCAGCCTAAACTTTCTGAGCAATTATCTGAGCAGGTGCAGGCACCTTTTGTACAAACATCATCACTGGCTCTCCCTGCCTGTGTTTAAGGCTGGAAAGGGTACGATAACTCTGAAGAGAATGTTCTGGTGATGAGGCCAGGGACCTCGGTTGCATTCATCACCCTGACACCACCTTTATGACCAGAGACTGGTTATGTAACCCCTCTGAGCATGTGACTGGGTAAAGCAGGAAGAAGGAGAATTTTTCCCCTTGCTGCTCCCAGGCTGTTTTGGGGAGCCTGCCCTGTGCATGCAAGCTCAGCGACAGCCACACTCCTGAGAGAATCACCCTGGTGCAGCTCAAACTGTGCCGTATGCTGAGCCTACTTACTGCAGCATCTAGTTGAGCCTGGCTGTCCTTGAAGTGCTATAGAATCTTTGTTAATGTCTTTAGGTGCTGTGAGTAGTGACAGGAAGTGTTTTCCACCTATGCATTTAGACAGCGATATTGTTCGCAGTGCAGCTTTGTTCTCACAAAGCATCAAATTGCTGTAAGCCCTGTCTTTCAGGCTGTTTCTTTTCTGTACGTGTCACCTGAGTGATTTGTCCCAGGGCTGCCTGTTTGGGTAAGTCCAGCTTAGATGGGCCTATGTCACAGCAAAGGCCAGTGTCCTTCCAGGTTTTGCACTGGATTTGTGCATGTAGCTGGATGTTGCAAGATCCTGTGTGCTGAGATACTCACCGTTTCCTCATCAGTTATGTCAGTTGGAGAACTTGCCTCTTTGAGGAACTGAGGGGAGGACAGTGGAAGGTTATTTTTGTTATTAGTGTAACTGTGCTTGGATCTTCATTGCAAGGAAGGCTGCTTCCTTTACTTAGCTTTAAGTAAAGGAACAGGATACACTGTAGTAATGCTGTGTCCACCTTTGCTGAGGAAGGTCTGACTTGCACCTACAGACATACTTTTTGCAACAGAATTCATCACTCTCCACGGAAATGACTCCTAGTTGTTAAAATAGAGTTCTAAAAGGGTATCATACATTTTTTTAAATGTTTGAATCTATGTAAATTGTATATACCCACATGCATACCTTAAAAAATGTATAGTAATGTAACTGCTGCTGTACAAGTAACAATTTTTACTCTTTAGTATGTAAAGAGCAAATCCTTTTATCCACAAATACAATAAGAGTAGGAAAATTTTCTTGATGTTACATAAAGTTTAATTTGTTATTTATGAGCAACAAAGAAAATTGTACAGTAGCTTAAGAAAATAAGAGAAAATTTAGAAGTCTTCAAAGATAGAATATTGTTCTGCAGGACCTACAGAAAGTTCTGTTTATGTTAATATCTCTTGGTACTAAAATCAAGAGCAAATCTATTCAGCTGTAAACTAGCTTTGAGTTTTGGTACTACCTAAGAAACTAAAAACAACATTTTTTTTTTTTTAAGGCACCAGCACCAGTGAATGGAGACTCTATTTCCCCAGAAGGTATATTCTATTTTATCCCAAATGCTATATGACTTTTTTTCTTTATAATCATTTACTTTAATAAAAAGAAAAAAAAAAAAAAAACATAAAGCAGTCCTGTTGGGGGGGAGGGTAAATATGAGGATGATTATATTTTGTCAGACTGTCATTTCTGTCCCCTGTTAAATAGATTGTGGACAGAAATTCAGAGGCTGTTTATGGGAGAAGATTGCTGTTAATGTGTAATCTGCATAAAAAGATGAGAAGATTAAATATTTCTTTCTATCCCTTTGATCAGGGAAGGTAAAAATGACACCCTTTTTAATTGAGAAAGATTGTTTTACCTTATATTTTTGTTATTCCTCATAGTAGCTAGCACATCAAATAAATAGCCCCTTTTCTTAAAAGGACATAGCCATACTTAATTTTCAAGTGTAATTTAAAAAAAAAAACATTCATTTTTATGATGTTGTTTTCCATGTTAACACCATATGTTTTTAGTCAAGAAATAAGATTGCATCCGAGACTTTCATTTTTGTTAGCTACTTTTACTTTAAAAGAAAACCCCTATTTCTCCTGGCAAGAACTCCACAGGGAAATGTATGCACTGTTGGAGACAGACGGAGTTACAGAAACACTAAGAGACTGGAAGTCATGAGCAGAGTTCCAAATTGTTTGCGAAGTAACATCTGTGTAGCCCATATCATGGGAAAGCAAGTTGTGTGCCGTTTGCCCTTATATGGCATGCCAATAAATAGCATTTATTTACTGAAGTATTACAGTGCAGACATCTGACAGACAACTGAACATAGCCTGCCTAATGTTTGATGTTTTCCAGGGATAGTCACGTCAGTGTTGCAACTCCTGCAGGGTAGCTTCAGCCAAACTGTTCCAAGTGAAGGGCTTTTATTTTGAGGACATGCTTTACGTRGGCTGAAGATGGAGCTCACCCAGAAGTGTTGTGTTTGGAGGGGAGGCATCCAAAAGATTTGAAAGTTCCTTTTGAAATGTTTGTGTGTGTGGCTAGTTGCATAGAACTAATGTCATTTTTGATGTGTGTTTTTTATTTTAGTTGATGATGCCTGGTACTTTTCTCCCAAGTGATCGTCAGTACGTGCTGAAGCCACATCATTCCTTAAATCATCCATTTTTTTCTTTTCTTTGAATTTTGAAGACACATAGGCAAATACATTAATTGCTGAATTCCTGTTGAGACAACTTTTCAAATTGTATGAACTTTCTATCATGTAAATAAACACTGACAAAGATATGTTCCCTTTCTATGCCTGTCTTGTGCAGGGTGAAGGAGAAGGAAGAAGAGCGCTTGCTCATTCTTGAGATTTAAAACTCTGGCATTCCTCTTTCCCATTCCTCCCGAGATGGAGATAAGTTGTCTTCAACCTTTGTTCTCCAGATTTTGGAATAATCCAGTCATCAGGTGCATAGGAGGCTGTGTTGATTTGCATATTGGGGTTTGTCTGTCTACTGTGACTAATCTTTCTCAGAAACAGTAATCTGTATGTTGTGAGCTTAGCAGTTTACCACATGCTCAGATATGCAACTGAGCGATGTTTCCTGAGGCAAATTCTTTTTTGTGCCCGTGGGTCTCTGCATATTTCATAGTTATTGGTGTAACATGTTTGCTTTTATAAAGCAAATATAACTTCACTCCAAAAAGTAATTCAATTAGGAAGGGCTGATGCCATAACAACTGAAATAAGGATGCACGTGTGCTCTCTGCAGCACATCCTGTTTTGGTAACTGCTTTGTTTCATCACACAGGAAGGATTTTCCTTATGGAATGTTTCCATTTTTAGAATTGTATATGCCTGAAGACTTCTGATAGCCCCTCACACAGTGGGCCAAAGTTAATAAAATGTGTAAAATTGAGCTTTGTGTTTTTCTGGTAAAAATATTTGCCATGTTTTCTACTGTGGGATTATATCAGATCTATCTGTACTGCCTAGTGTTTTCTTTTTTTAAGAAAAAAAAAAAAAAAAGGGCTGTTAAGTAGAGAGGAAATGATCGCACACGGACAGCTTTACCCAGCGTGTTACTGAGAGCAGAGGTGAGCGAAGTCCAGTTTGTACACAGCCCATAACTAAGGCTTAATATTGTTGACACTTGACGGAAGTGGGAGACAGAAAACTGAAAAATATAGGTGGTGGGTTTTACCTAGAGGATTAACTTTTCTTTACAAAGAATGTTATTAGTTAAAAAAATTTCACCCTCTGGGTATTATTCTTTGATGTTAGGAGTTAATTTTCTGCTTTAGAAAGTTGCTTAATATATAAACAGCAGTAAGGGGCCTCAGCACTTTGGAGTAGTCTGAGTTCTCCCATCTGTAAGGGGTTATGCATTGTTTTATACATAGGGATTAGGTGTACGGTGTGGGATGGAAAAATCTAACCTACATATCAGATACTAAAAACTTATTTTTTTAAAGTCTGGAGTTATGTTACATTCAACGCATACTTACAATAGTGCTTCTGCATATTTACAGAACTGTAAGATAGTGTACATTATACCCACAGATGTAATGYCTTTTAAAAAATTATTCATTGTTTAAATATTTTCCCTAGTGTCTTGGGTTCATGTGCAGCCTCTCGGTATGAAGTTACTTTGGTTATTGTAGAGTCTAGCTATTGTAGAGTACAGAACAGCTGCTACATTTGCCTGTATGGTGGTTATATCAAAGAGGTTTGCTGTTCCCTAAAGTTCTTTAGGGACAGTTGGACAATGAAGGACACTGTGTTAAATCAAATTATCTTTTCTATACATAGCTCACTTTCTTACTCTTTTGAGATGTTTAAGGGAAAGACAATATAAGCATAMAAAAAAACCCCAAAAAGCTGTTTACAGATACCCATGTTACACTGGGAAAAATAGGTTAAACAGTCAATCAYAGAATCATAGAATGCTTAAGATTGGAAGGGACCTCCAGAGAACATCTAGTCCAACGCCCCTGCACACACAGGGTCAATAGTATGGTTTTGGTTTAAGTTGCTTCTTTTTACTGTAAAAAATAACTGCTTTTTAATTTATAGCTACATTAATGATGTGGGATTAGGAATTGAGAAATAAATATTTAGATCAAATTAGACTTTATGCATGTAAAAAAATAAATAGTATTTGGGAAGGATGAAAATTGATAGGAACTGAAATGCCTTGTGCTGTCATAAATTTTGAAAATATTAAAATATTTCCTTCATGGAGAATACATAAACAGATGACTACTTTGTCTTCAAACTGCTTGCAACATCTGCTTATGAACATTTTCTAAGGATTTTTTCCCAAGTGAGATAAAAAGATGTACAGTTATGTGTAACCTTGCAGCTAAAATGTACTGAATGGTACTGACATGTGGTTTTTGGAAATGGAGTGTAATAAAAAAGCTGTGGAGAGAATGTCTGTTAAGAGGAGAATTGGGGGATGGGACAGAAAAATCTGGAATATGTTTTACAGATCACTTCAGGAAAACGGGTTTACAATAAATGCTTGGATTTTGTTTTGTTTTCCAGACAGGTCTTCTGTTTGTCCTTATTTGTATTCCTGTATGTTTAAAACTGGATTCTTATTCATTTAGAAATGGATTCGTTTCAGTGGGAATCTTAGTGTAGCAGTATTTGCTTCTCAATAGCTATATGAAATCATTTTTTTTCACCTACTTCTAATGCCAGTATCTCCTGAAATGTCTTGAAGGGAAATAAATATCTGTGCCAGTGAATCTATAGTATACACTAGGTACACTATAGTATACATAGGTATGTAACTTTTGCAAGCACAATGCTGTATCTCTTTATTTTTTTAGTTTTAGGGAAGGAGAAGTTGCTATTTTCTCCCTGTTATTGTGCTGAATCTTCATTTTATCTATGTAATTCATTACCTGCTGTTGGAAATAGTATCTTTGACATGGAACACACTTTTCAGCCTCCCAGCTGAAAATGTATTCATTAAAGTGTGAAAATAATAAAGTTATGAAAGCAGCATGCTATTGTCACTGTTAGGATGTTGTTTTCATGCTGTTAGTAACAATGGACATCCTCTAAAAATCTCTAAAAGAATGGAAAGTAATTCTGAACTGATTTTCATAGATGGTATATGGAGAAAGTGCCTTACCATTTTTTGTTTGGTGCCATGAAACAAGATATTAATACTCAAGAGGTATGACATGAAGCTGTCCTAAGCTGATCAAAGTATTATTTCATGCTTCCCCTTGCTTTTGCTGAGTTTGAATCTTTTTACTGGGTTATAGTTAACAAGGCAAAAGCAATATTAAGTCAGTAAGGTGCAAAATTATGTTTTTGTTTTTCTACTTTTGCTGTAGAGTGTAAGGTGATTTCCTACCAGATTTTGTAACCTGTTTTCTGCTCCATGAAGACAAGAGGAATGGCATTTGGAGGACAAGAAAGAGAAAAGTAGCAGAAGGAGGAGAGAGAGAATGGAACCCAGACCTAGAAGGTTCAGGCAAATTTAAAAGTGAATGACATGTAAAATAGATGCAATGGCAATATTTTTAAAAATAAGTTTTTTTCTATACATTCCCACAATATATAAATTACTGATTTCATACAACTGGGGGGTGGGGCAGTGGAACATGTTTATCAAGTAGTTAGAACATTGACCTAGGTCGCAAGTTGGAATTGTATCCCCAAGGTCCCTGGGAGTAGGTTTCACTCCTTACCCCCGGTGGGGGAAAGCAACAGAAAGCGACTTGCAGGAATTGCTGACTTGAACTTCTGAGCCKTAAGGGAGGCACTAAGGTGATGAGGATACTTAGCAAAGGTTGAGTGACTCACTCACAGTCGGTCTTTGATTTCGCATGACTCCAGGATGCTGGATGTATCCAGTGGTCTCTTACTAAATCTCCAGATGKTCTCTAGAGGATAGGCAAAGAAAGCGAAATTCACCAGAGGAATGTTAATTTATTGGCTAATTCATTGATGATTATTGGGGAAGAAGCTTTTATTCTAGAGCTGTGGACAGAATTCAGGTACTGTAGCTCATGTTTTCTGTCTTGATCTCATAGCTACATTATGGCTGAATCTTCCATATTATGCAAAACTCCAAAGGATTGCAATATTCTGTGTGGTTAGTATGTGTTACGTACCAGAACACTGTTGCCCAATAGCTTTTCGTATCAGAGTATCTGTGCAAGATTTCTGGATTCTTTGCAGGTGTCACCAAATTTAATACTAGCGTTTTGGTTTATTATCTTTGGAAGAATACGTATATGCAATATGCGGACATTACAGCACGCATGCTAATTTAYGGGTTACATTGCATTCCTAGTTAGGATTTGCTTGTCTTGAAAATAAGAGGTTTTTTTTTTCCGTTTGCAGATGAAAATCTGTTCAGATCTGGAGATGGTAATTTGTGTGTGTGGTATTCATTGCCAATAAATTGCTAAGTGGTCCCCTAAGCTTTTCTTTCAGGGTGAAGAGAATGAGTGCAATAACTGAAGTGTCTGTGCTTTGTAAGTATGATCAGCCTTACGCTCTTTTATTGATACTTGTATCCGGACAAGGRTATTGGAATGTAATGGAACTGGTTTGACTACTCTGAGTATTCAACTATTGTCTGCTGCTRTTATACCAGCTACAGGATTTTATAGAGCATTTGGCATTTCCCATTTTAAATATGCTGAGGAGTAAACATCCAAAGCACTGGATTTGAATATAAAGAATTAACTTTAAAATTTTCACTTTTTTTTTAACCCATGTGGGCTTGGACAGACCACATAATCTTTATGCTATTTGCAAAATGCATGTTTTCTCCTTGTGAATGGTCTGATTTCTCCCAAAACAGAGTTGGCAGTAATATTAGGAAAGAGGAACTCCTTCTAGGAAGGCACAGGATACATTGAGTTTTGCTARCTGTGATAATCAGCTGCGCTGACAAAATTCCACAAGCCAAACCTGCATCTTTATAGTAAGTCACATTCCTCTGCCCTAGGGTTGTGTGATAGTGTAATTCTCTTAAGAGTGAAAAGAGCATCAATGATGGTGAAAGTTCAAGGTGTAAATTGACGTCTTAGTCCTATAACTATGACAGCAGGCTCAACTCAACTATTAAGCAGGTCTTTAAGTCCCCTAAATGCCTGCGTGCTGTTTCTAGACTGCAGAAGAGTTGATTTCAGACTGSAATTTGTGAATGCCACCTGGACATTCTGAGCATTTCAACTTCAAATCAGTTGAGACCTAGGAGCAAAGCTGTTTTAAGATTCAAAGACAAAATATCCTCCTAGTGCCTACTGTTTAGAAGGTTTACTATATGGTAGAAAGTACATTTATTAGAAGGGCTATTGGCAGCCTGTTCTCTTTGGAAAGCTGAGATTAGAAGGAAGACATAGTCAGGTTAGTCAGACACAATTCCCCTGACAGAGCTGTGCAGCAACAGTTAAGTTGTTGCCTTTCTTTCTTGTCCAATTCTAAATTTATTTTTGCCTCCTAAATGACAATTTGGGAATGAAAAGCTTTAGAATTTCTAGTCCTTTACTGAATAGCTTTGTATCTCAGGGAAAATCATATAAACTCCCTCATTTCTTTGCATCTATAAATAGGGACAGTATCTGTTTATGTTACAGTAATGTTGTGGGCATTAGTTGCCTGAGAACTTTAAACATCACGGAAGCCTTATTGCTAACAGATGTCTCTCTGACCCTATAGGTTGGCACACAAGGCTGCTAAGCATTCAGACAAGAGGAGCTGATTGGGACTTCTGCAAAACAAAGTTCATGTAGCTCTGCATGTGGAAGGGAAATCCTGCAAGAGAAAAGGAGCCAGGGTAAGAGCAGGGCAGCTGAGCAAGGGTCACTGCGAAGGGCATATGAAAAGAAAGTTGTAGCTGATAATGCAACCCGAGAACAGGAACAGGAGGAGGGGACCCAAATGGGCTAAAGGGTATGGCAACTTCTAACACTAGAATAGGTTTAGGCTTCATGTTTCAGTGGTCCTAAATGTCACCTCGCTCTGTTTCCTAGAAGTCATGTATAGGTGCTATTCCCTAAGTTATGATACTCTACTTTATGAAAGTAGTGGGGGAGAGTCCCTGTGMAGGTTGCTACTTTGTAGTCTGAAGAGGAGCTCTTTGATTCAYTTTGCCCTCTGTCTGGAGCTGAAATAGTTTGTGGGACCTCTAACTGAAATGCAAATTAGCCTTAGATATTTCTTTTCAATTCACACTTCTTGGAAGAAGTGACACAATTCTTGAAAATACAGTAACGGTGCTTCTGTGACAGGCATGCTCTTTTACAGTATACATGGTATAGCTAAACTGAATCATACCAATATGTATGTGTTTTAACATTTTAGTGTGCCTTAAAGTGCAGTGTGTGCTAGTTGTACTGCATGGGTGTTTTTCTCTGAATGTTAATCTGAAAAAGAAAAAAGGAAGTGTCTGTCCTTCACCAGGAAATGACTAAGCTAACTGTAGTAATTAGTGAACACACAATCCATAATTTTTAAAAACTTCAGGCTTTTACTTTTCCTTTGAACTTTAAAAGTCTTATCCTCTTCTAAAAATAAGTTTAACAAATTTTGCAAAAATTGTTTGTTTCTGATGATCAGTTGCATAGTGAATGTGAGTAGCCAGTGGCTCATTTTYGATTGTCTTTTGTAATAGTTCTTGTTTTCTGTTTTTTTATGTAAATTTTCCTATTTAGAACTGATATTCTTTAGAAGTTCAGTTTTCATTTTGAAACAATTTTTACTAAAATRTTCTGACCCTTCAAAAGATACTGAATACTAATGAAACAATGATATACTCATCCTGTATAATAACTGGTATTTTTCCTGATTTTAAAGATGCTCTTTTACAGAATATGAATAATAAAAACACTCATTTATTTTTTCAGTCAACCATTTTCTGTATCTATTAGAACTTGTTGTAATCATGATCAAGACCATTGTACTAGGTACTTCGCATATACATATTACTTCAAAGCACTCACACTTTAAGCAGAAAAGAGAGATAAAAGGAGGGAAAAAAAAAGTGCTATTCCTGCTTTGCTGCTGAGAGAAGTAGAGGAGAAGTGAACTTTAGTTGCTTAGGGGCTTGACACAGTCCCTGGAGGCTTATCCTGACAGCTCAACCTGTATGG